ACTCGAAACCAAAAACGAAATAGCCACTGGTTAGGTCAGTAAAGAGCAGCAGTTTAGTTGGAGCCACACAAAATGGTGTGCTCTTAGGCTTACCCAACACGGAAGCTTCTGAATTCTCACTGCCCGTGCGGCAGCATCTACTGCCTGGAGAGCGGCTGGGGAGCAAAGAACTTCCCTGGATTAATTTTAGAGCTAGAAGAGACCCCAGGCGTTATCTAGCTGGCCAGCCTATTTTATCTTTTTCCCTTTATTGTGGGGATAGGAGAAAAGTGAGTAACTTTTGCATTTCTTCCCTTTTGTGAAACATTTACATTGTTTTTTCTGCCCTCAGGAAAAAAATTAACACGGAAGGAGATGTTCCTCCTTCCATGTCAGGAAGCTGTGCTGTGTGTGTAGACAGGGTGCTCTACTTGTTCGGGGGACATCATTCAAGAGGCAACACAAATAAGGTTAGTGTTTCTCAGGATTATGGTTCAAGGCAATTTTACTCTTTTTCAGACAACTTCAGATTTCTAAGGTTAGTCCATACTTACTCCTGTCCCAGTTTAAAAAATACACGCATGTGATAATGGTATGAATGTGCATTTTATTTTAGTATTTTGTCTACCAGTCTACATCTAGGCCTTTGGTAAAATCAACTTTGGTTGATAACTTATGTGCAGTAATTTCCTAAGTGGTTTTGCTTTGTGCTCTCTGCAACTGCTTAGTCTCTTAGAACCCTGGGGTGTTAGATAAATATTAGTAAACCAAATGAAAACAAGATGCAATCATGAGGGGCAGGGTAAAAATTAGCAGACCACCACTCAGCTATAAGGATAAATTAATACTGACAACATTTTATATACTAACATTCCTATAATATGGCACTATAAGACACTGGTTGTTCAGACTTTGTCGGTGTTTTTTTCCAAATCGGAACAAGAGAACAGTTGTTGTCTCAAGCCAGTAAGACACAAATGTCAGTCAGAAAGGTGCATATGATTTAGGGAGACTCATAAATTTATTTAGCAACTTAGCACCTTGTGAGCACTTTGGTTAGACTCCGGAGACACAGAGATGAAAGATACAGTCCCCACCCCTAGGAACTCACATTCTAAAAGGGACACACAAAAGAAGTAGCTGATTTCAGTAGCATATAAGGAGATACATAGAGCTCATAGTATAATAGCTCAGTAAATATTGTTAAGTATTTAAATATTGTTAAATCTGAAAAAGAATCCTTGACATTGTGTTTGGCAGGATGGAGGAACAGAATAAGGAAAGTCTTCACCCAAGAGGGTTGAATTGAATCATAATTGGAAGGGGTAGCCAAGATACAGATATCAAGAGGCAGAGGTATAAACAAGTATGTCTTATTTATGGGAACGCCAAGTGGTTCAGTGTGGATGACAAGAGTTTCAGACTGTACTCCTAGGCGCTCTAGGGATTTCTTTCACAGGCCTTGGGACACCTGGGGGACGAGCATACTGGTGTTGGGCAGGCTCCAGACCACCCGTCCCGACTCCCATCTTAACAAGCGTAGCTCCTCTTCAGTTAGGCTTTGCTGAGGATTTTGTTTGAAGAAAGGGTTCTGTGCCTAAAAGATTTTGCAAGGCACTGCTGTGGGGGTAGTGGAGCCATGTGTTTTTCGGGGCTTAGGCGGAGAAAGAGAACTTGGACACAGCATGAAGCAGCTTGGGAAAGAAGCTGTGGCTTTAGGGCTGGACAGAAAAATGGGAGTAGTTAGTGTATCAAATGGCTGGGGGTTGAGTATTTTAAATTTGATCGGAAGGAAGCTTAGGGGTCTTAAGAGAAGTAAGAAGATATATATAAAATGATCAGATTTATTCAAGTACCTGGCTGGGAACCCTTCGAAAGAAAGACCAGTACTTAACTGTAGCAGCTAAGGATAAATCTTAAACAACTAAGTAGGCACTTAAGACGTGTTTGTTAAATTCAATTTGAAGGTGAAATTGCTGAGTTGAATTTTTTTGGTAATACCATCTTCCTACCCATAAATTAGATTAGTAGGACTCAAAGTGCCTATGTAATAAGGCACAGAATAAAAATCCACACACTTCTATTCCTTCATCAAAAAAATGAGGTGATTGGGAAAAAAATGAGCTGAACAGGGTGCCTAGTGACTTAGGCAGTTTACATTCTGGCGTAAGTTCCTTATGTAGATTCAGACCAGTAACAGTCTGTAATCACACTTTTAGGAGAACTGAATTAAAGGACGTTCCTATTATCGTTAAATCACAATCAAATTAAATGCCAAGGTGGAATTCCTTGCACATAACCAAATCTAACTGAAATCATTGCTTCTGACAGTTCTACATGCTGGATTCAAGGTCTACTGACAGAGTATTACAGTGGGAAAGGATTGATTGCCAAGGAATTCCTCCATCATCAAAGGACAAACTTGGTGTCTGGGTATATAAAAACAAGTGAGTTAGCAGCCCCGTAGGTTTGAGTGTTTATGTGCAAAGTGGTTTGCCATCCGAGTATCTTTAGACTATAACCATTCTAACCTTAGAACGTACCTTCTAGGGCCCATATGAGGGTTAAGTGAATCCATACATTAAAGTGCTTAACATAGCACTGAAGGCATAATTAGCCATAGTAGCCATTATTATGTGAATAAGTATTTTATATATTTAAGTGTGCCTTCTCAATTCGTAGCATGACAAAAGAAAAACTTCTTGTATCTTCCTAACCGGTGGATGTTTGAATTTTTAGTGTTTTGGTTTTTTATCAAACAGGTTAATATTTTTTGGAGGTTATGGATATTTACCTGAAGATAAAGTATTGGGAACTTTTGAATTTGATGAAACATCTTTTTGGGTAAGTGAGGTTTCGTATTTGTATGTGGCCTTCTTGGTATATTGAAATAATACATATTTGCTAGTCTTGTTTTGCCTTATTCATAAACCAGACAAAGCTATATAATTTTACAAACATTTGTAAAATAACTCAGATTCTTATTCATTTTCTGTAGAATTCAAGCCACCCAAGAGGATGGAATGATCATGTACATATTTTAGACACTGAAACATTTATCTGGAGTCAGCCTATCACTACTGTGAGTTACTGAAGAATAATGAATTATTAAAGCAAAGCTCCTTGGAGGAGAAAGGGAGTTGGGAGGTGGTAAAAATGGACAGTTCATTCCTCTTTTTCTGGAGAGAGAAGGTCCATTGCTTTCATTTTTCTCCAAGGAGTCCATACCTCAGAAAAGTTTAGTGAATATATAGACTAACCCAGCATCCATTATCTAATAGAGGTTAAGTGGTATTGTTTGTAACTAAATAAATGACCTAGCACTAGATTGTAGTTTAAGTTACTCAAATATTAGATTTCCTTTTCGTCTGACACAGGTGTCCTATAATGTGCTACCTTTTATTTTACAAAAGATAAAAATAAGACAAGGATTCTATTAACTAGAGCATTTGGTAACACATCTCAAATATAAAATTACAGTTCGCAGTTTTAGTGTTACTGTTGAACAGACATCTGCACTTTCGCTTAAAGGCTCAGGTGTCTTGCATATCCTCATCACATACCCAGAGAAGACTCTGGTATTTGTTTTAAAAAATTGCTTTTATGACTTTTATAGGGTAAAGCACCTTCACCTCGTGCTGCCCACGCCTGTGCAACTGTTGGAAACAAAGGCTTTGTGTTTGGAGGCAGATACCGAGTAAGTGTAGGAAGAGTTTCAATGACTTGCTTTTGAGTCATTCAAAATGATAATTACTTAATTGTCCTTCTTCAGGATGCTAGAATGAATGATCTTCACTATCTTAATCTGGACACATGGGAGTGGAATGAATTGTATGTATCACTTTAGATAATTATTTTTAAAACATTCAATTTTTTTAGTTCTGTTATCAGTATATAATGTACTTGCTTAAATTTTCTATAACTTGAGTATTTAAATAAACATGACTAGATCCTTAAAGGAATTTTTTTTTTTAATTTCCTGTTTCCGTAACTGTACCTGGCACAACAGCGTATGCCCAGTGTTTGTTGAAAAGAAAAGGCCTGAGGTTGGCTCTACCTTCTAAGAACATGGTTAATTCTAAAGCATGTAGCTACTAATACCAAGAAGTTTTTTAAATTTAAAGTCTCTTTTTTTCATAATTCTATATAAACTTTAAAAGAAAACTTCTTCAGTATTTCTGTGTATTAAATAGTAGCTGCTTTTAAACACAGATATTGTAACTTAGCTGCTGTTTTCAGAATTCCACAAGGCATATGCCCAGTTGGCCGATCTTGGCACTCACTCACACCAGTTTCTTCAGATCATCTCTTTCTTTTTGGAGGATTTACCACTGATAAACAGCCGCTGAGTAAGTCTTTTAAAAATATAAGAAATCATATCATTCATATGTGATCTATAAATAGCTGGGAAAAAATCAGTCTATTTTAGATATATCAGAGGGCTATAGGGTTGGTTGGAAGATTTGCTATTAATTTTGATTCCATAACAAACCTGTAATTGTTTTTATACTAGGACATCCATTGATTCTGTCCAGTGAAACACTTAAAAGCCCCGCTGAAGGGTTGTAACAGACGAAGGGCTAAAAAAAGGATATATACTTCCTGTTTGTACTCACAATCTGATTTATTATCTTTCTTGTTAAAGCTTTGCCCTTTATCAGAGTGCTATTGACAAAATAATATACTTCATGGCTATTTTTTCTTTGCTTCAATCAGGTGATGCCTGGACTTACTGCATCAGTAAAAATGAATGGATACAGTTTAATCATCCCTATACTGAGAAACCAAGGTATGAACTATTTAAAAAATATTCTTGTACTGAATAATTGAGGTCCATAAAGATGTACAAGACTGGTAATGAGAGAGTAAATTGTGGCTGCATTAAATCCCTCATTCTTACTATAAAAATCCTAGCACTCACTAAGGTTTCACATCGTACCTCTTGAAAGAAAAGAAAACCAGTGTTATCCTAGTATCGAATGCTTTCTTTTTTGTCACTGTGCGTAAAAAAACAGCTGGACTTTGACTTTTGCTGCTGCTTTTATCATAAAATTGATGTAGTTAAAATTTATAATCAAGCTCTTTTCTCAAGTGAATTCAACTGCTTCTAGGTTTGCCATTTTAAAAAAGTAACTGGAAAGGAGAGAAGAATGTATGTAGGGAAAAAAATCAAGAACTTTCTATCAGATTTGCAGTAGCTCTATAGAACAAATACTAAGTCAAATCCCCCCAAAAAGAACTGTCAGAAAAACTGCTAAAGGATATGATATAGTCACAACTGGTATTCAAATCACATTTAAGTAGGCCAGCCTGCATTTTCCCCCCAAGCCTCTAACTTAAGTACACTTATGCACAAAGCCTTCATTGATGGCACAAAAATTCTTTCCATAGAATTACCAGGCCTGATACTTTGCGTATCTCAGGCAGATTCAGCATCCAGGTCGACTGGCCCTGCCATGAAAAGAAGAAGATCAAGAGGGCATATACCACACATCTCCCATAAGGTTTTTATTGCTAACAAAGACCTAGAGAACAGATCATTCAGTTCAAACCCCTCACTGCATAAATTAGGACTGGACCAGAGAGCTAAAATGATAACATCCAGATAAAACAGACATTGATTTTTTTCTAGTGTTTGCTACTTAAGATAAATTCCTTCTCAACATGTTTCTGGTCTGTACTAAAGATCTCTTTATTTCATCATTCTGTTCTGTAGTATAAATTGTCAATTTGGTGTTTGGGTAGCTTCAAATTCAAGCTTCTGTTTTAAATATAGATTATGGCATACAGCTTGTGCCAGCGACGAAGGAGAAGTAATTGTGTTTGGCGGGTGCGCCAATAACCTCCTTGTCCATCACAGAGCTGTAAGTACACTACCCTAGTTAAAGGACACTTCATAATACTTCTGAAACTTACTGTGGAATACTTACTTTTGAATGTGTTTTTCGTATCTATTTTTCAGGCACACAGTAATGAAATACTTATATTTTCAGTTCAACCAAAATCTCTTGTAAGGTAAGTAACTTTTTACTAGGTACTTCATTTTAAATTAATGCTCTTGAAAAACCAGGTTTATAGATAACTTAAGGGCAATAACAAGCCTTCAATGATAGAACTAACCAGTTCCTATGAAAATCTTTAAAGTGTTTTTTTTTGGGGGGGGGGCAGTGTTTATAAGTCTTCAAATTAATGTACTTCCAAATAGTAAAGCAAAACTATTTTTCTCTTGTCCACTTTCAGGCTAAGCTTAGAAGCAGTCATTTGCTTTAAAGAAATGTTAGCCAACTCATGGAACTGCCTTCCGAAACACTTACTTCACAGTATTAATCAGAGGTTTGGTAGTAACAACACTTCTGGATCTTAAGGCTTCATAGATAATGCCTCTGATCACCTTGCATGGACAGCAATTCTGTAAACATCAGAGAGTGGTGTCATTTGTATAATTATATGCATTGTTGTAGTTTGCAGCTTTTTGGTTTTAATGTGCATGTGAATGGCCTAGAGAACCTATTTTTGTGTCTAAAGTTTACAATAAATGTATTTAACACCAGTAACTGTCTTCATTAATACTTGGGCTTTTTACCCCAAGGAATGGTTATTATATTTCCTTTTTAGTAACTTCAGGATATATAGCTGTAGATGTAGAAACATTATGCTAATTATTATTACTATCAAAATGGTGGTTATTTTTTTAAATTAATATTTTAGGGTTTAATGGCAAGAGTAGTCTGTTGTATTTACAACACTAGGCCATATAATTACAAAGGTTTTTTTTTTTTTACATTAATTTCAAATGGAAAAATATTCTCAATAGGACTAAGCTGGTTAAAGAAATTTTGGAAGGACCAACAGCTATTCAGTACTTTGACCTTATTAATGCTCTGGTATGGGGCGGGGCAAGTGGCCTTATTGACTGTAGGTAGCTATCGTCTAATCATTTAATAAGTAACAGTGTTTTAGCTCATAAAAAAAACTCCTCGTTCTGTTAAGAGATAGAAGAGGATGAACTGGGTCAGGAGTCTAGTGATAAGCCTAAAAGTGCACTTATGATATCATAGGTCTTTAAGATACTCTGTAACATGCTGATAATTACTAAAGGTAGAAAATAAAATGGTAGAAACAAGGAAGAAATCAGGATGAAAAGTGAAGTTGTGTAAATGCATGGAAATGATCAATACCAATTTTTTCTAGGTGTTATTTCTTAGGCTGAATAATGTGTATTTTAAATCTGATCTAATATATTTTTTGACAAGTAAAGGCAGAAGGTTTTCAAGACTTAAACCTAAATGTTGAGCACCCCCAACCCTCACCATGCCACCAGAAAAAAAAACAAAAAAAAAAACCTTGTGATTGACCTGTAATAGATATATTAGATGTTATATACGGTAGACTACCAAGTCAATAGTCTAAGCAACTGAGCCACTTCACTGTTCGACTTCTTTACAACATGAAATGAAAACTTAGTATTAACCTCCCAAATTTTAAGAAAATGTAGAATAACTACAGATGTATACAATTAGCATTTAACTGTCACAAATATTTTAGGAAGTCCTATCATAGTGTTTCCTCTCTAAAAAACTGGAAAAAAAAACAAGTCCTTTTGGCGAATATAGCAAGGCAATGTTTAGTTCATTTTTTAAATGCGGAAGTCTGGTTACATGGTGTTTTCATCTCTGAACTTCCAAAAGGCTATAAAATTGGCTCTTCTCAAATATTTTAGGATTTCATTTCAGCTATTTCCTTTTTACATTCAGAAGATTGGGTGCAGACACTTTGACTTTGCCAGGAATGTTTCTTGATAAATCCGTGTCCTAAAAAAAGAGAATTGCTGAATATCTTCACATTCTATATGGTGGTCATGTTTCTTTTATGACAATTATGTGTCCTCTGCTGTCAAAAGAAAGGCATTTCCAAAATTTTCAACTGGAATGATTTTACTTATTTTACACTGCTTCTAGTAAGACAACATTTTCTACCAAAACAACAGCTGCAGCTTGCATCTACTGAATAAAGAACTGACAGTAAAAAATTGTAACTGCTAACATTTTTAACTACACCACTATCTCCAGACTTCAGGAGGAATACTTTACCTTTACACTGCGAAACAAGTCTTTTTCTCTTGCTGTTGCTTCTTTGGAATGCATGAAACTATTCAAGGCTGTTTTTGCCGCTGTAAATAGAAAATAGAAGAATCTACTTCTGTTCAATGAAGAAATGTTCAAAATCATAATTCAAAAAAAAATTTTTAAATACCTTTTCCCTTTTTCTGAACTCCAGGAGTAAGTTTCACTTTGTATCTTTAAAAAGGAATTGCGTGTGTTACTGAACAGAGATTACAAAATCATAAGTCACTATTGTGTCAGCAGTTTTAACTATAGATGACTTACTTATAGTTTGTCATGGTGGTGTAAGGGGCACATATTGGAATGGCAAACAGTAATACATCTTCAGGATGTGGCTGCCCAGTCAAAGAGTCAAAGAGATTTTCCTAAAAAGGGAAAACAAAAACAATTATAAAATTCTTACCAGTCCTAAAAAAAGTCTAGTATCTCAATATATTTTTATTTTTTTCTGATAGGCCTATAGTCCTAAGCTCTGCTTTCTATTTCTAGTTCCAAAGAGTTTAAGACCAATGGTGTTTATATTCTTTACTACTAAAATTTTTGTATAGCATAATGAGAAATGAGAACAATGATTTTCAAAAATAATACTTGTAAATACATTTAAGGGAGAAAAAACTTGTTGGATGTTATTTGTTGCAGAAAACTATGGATTAAAATGATTTATAATAATGACCACAAACAGATTTAAATCCATTGCCTGGAAATGGGACTGATACTTTAGCTGGACTAGCAGTTTTTGACTAGGGGGATTTTCTAGTGGCCCCACCCTGGCCCACCCCAGACGTTTTGCCTGTTCTTAAGGAAAAATCTTACGGGCTTCTCAGAGTTGCCCTTTGGTGGGCTGCCTACAGGATAAGCCATATTTATTTAGCAACATGAATAAAACTTGGACAAGATGCTTGGTGCTGAAGTGTTTACTATGTGCCATGGACTTTTCTAAAATGCTTTATGTATATTCTCCAAACAACACTCTCCTGGTAGGGACCAATCACCCCCACTCTCCAGATGAGGAAACAGAAGCACAAAAAATAATGCTTCAAGGTTGCAGTTACGTGTAGCAAAGTTGGGATTCAAACCCAGAATGTTGGACTCCAGAGCCTACAATCTTGTCTTAGCCTTAGAAGTTTTAATTAGTTAGAAATTGTATATCAAATATTTTGGGAACTAGACTGTAGTCAGAGTGTTACATTAGGGACCCCAACACAAAATCATACCTCATTACCCTGTTGATCCAGATCTTGCTCTTCCTGCTCCAAACAAAATTTTAAAAGTCAGCTATAACTTAAATTGAAATTTCACATGATTAAAAACTATGAGGAGAAAAAAAACAACATAATAAGACTCACATCTAAACAACAGGTTATGGACCCCAAGACTGTGTTCTTCAGTGTCCCAAAACTCTGAATTAATTTGTGCATCTCCTATTTTAGAGAGCAATGCCATTCAAAGAGAAAAAGCACTGTTCTCTGAAGTTAAAAAAAAAACTCACATGGAGTGCATGCTAAAACAGTGAAATTAAATGTAAAATGACAATCTTCAATGTAAAATAATTTAAAATGACAAATTTGGTATGTTTGCCAAAGGAAAATGGAGAATCCTGGTGAACAGAACTTTTATTTTTTAGTCTCTGTTCAATAGTTCTAGGATAAATTTTTCACATATTAAGGTAAGCTTACTTTTGTTTGCTCTTCTTAGATTATCTCCAAATAGATTTTTTATGTATAATTCATAACACCTCAATATTTATGAGTCTCTGGTTTATAGAATAAATTACAGATATGAGAACAGTGTAAACATTTGAGGATCAAAATGGGTTGTCACATTATAAAACAGTAACATTGTTCAGGGAAAAAAGAAAACAGTAACACACTGAGAATCCCTGTAAGCATTACCTACACTGAACAGAGCTCACGATTCTAACCAAAGCTTTAAGGGCTATAAATACAAATACCAGTGAAGCCAAATTTTTTCCAGTTTTATAAAGTAATAAATCCTTTGCTCAGGATTTCAAGAAGATACACTTAAAGCTGGGCTTGTATTCAGCTGATAGAATAATTAGGCACCCATCTTAACTGGATAAATTATGTTCACTTCTTGCTGGTTTTTCAACCAGGGCACTTGGCACTTGAGCTGCACAAGCACTGTAAACATTATGTAAGATAAACAGCATATATTCCTATAGAAAAATCTAGAGAAGTGCAAATTTACTTTCTACTCATCTTCAAGACAATCCGAATTGTCTTATTGTAACTAAGTTCCCACATTAGAATCAGATAAAGCCTCTCCATAAAATTATTTTCTAAAGGCTTGTAAAAAAAACTTTTTATCATGAACATGACCATTTTTACACATATCCTGGAAATTTAGTCTTTTAGGTTGTATTTCTAAGATGACCTTCCGTTAAGAAGTTTACCACCTGTCCTGGTTTTAGCACTTACTGTAAGCCTTGTGTCCTGGGAACCCTGAGGAGGTTAGTGACCTTAAATGAAGCGAAAGCCCACATACATATGTGTGGTAGCCCTACCTTGTCATCATGTGGATCATCTACGGCCAAGTCTTGTAACTCATGAGTTACAACCTCAAGGGAGGGAGTTTCTTTCTTTATGCTGTCTGAAGCCCTTGGTCCACCTCTAGGTTTCTGGGGCTGTTTCTTTACAGGTTCATCCTTTGTTTTTCCTTTCTTCCCCTTCTTCCCTTTTTCTTCTTTGTTTGAACCTGCAGACTTTAATTCATAGAGGTAAAATAATGTCAGCTCTCTATCTCTGACAAAAAAATCTTAAAAGGGGGGCCGCACCTGGGTGGCTCAGTCGGTTAAGCCTTCAGCTCAGGTCATGATCCCAGGGTTTGGGATAAAGTCCTGCATCGGGCTCCCTGCTCAGCGGGAAGCCTGCCTCTCCCTCAGCCTGCCGTTCCCCCTGCTTGTGTGCGCACGCTGACAAAAAATCTTAAAAAAAATAATGTATGTTCAATATTGTCAATATTTTAACAAAATGTATTGAATCCTAGCATAAGATAGGTAGTGGTCTGGATGCCCCTTAAAAAGCAAAAGAAGAGGGCGACTGGGTGGCTCAGTCGGTTAAGTGTCTGCCTTTGGCTCAGGTCATGATCCCAGGGTCCTGGGATTGAGCCCCACATCGGGCTCCCTGCTCAGCGGGAAGTCTGCTTGTGCCTCTCCCTCTGCTTGCCGCGCCCCTGGCTTGCACACACATGCTCACACGCTCTCTCTCTCACTGTCAAATAAAATCTAAAAACAAAAAAAAAGAAAATGGTTTTGGATGTTACTTACCCCCAGCAATTTCATGATGAGTTCACGTTCTTCCTCATCTTGGTCTTTGTACTTTTCCTTCATTTTTTTCATTTTACTCTACAAAATCAAAAGACTTTAGTTGGAAAAATTCAGCAGTTAAAAAATGTGAACAAATGTTTGTAAAGAAAAGGTGCTTTTATTCTGTCAAAAATGCCGAGAAGGTACCATTATAATAAACAATATGGAGGCTAAAATGATGGATAAACCAGTCCTCAGCCTCAAAGAATTTACTATCTAGTAGGAAAAGAAGACACATGTAAGAGTAAAGAGAAATTAATGCAACATATTCTAAATGCAAACATTATTTCTAAGGTAATTCAGAGGTAGATTTCTTTCAGCTTAGGGCGCCTGGGTGGCTCAGTCGTTAAGCGTCTGCCTTCGGCTCAGGTCATGATCCCAGGGTCCTGGGATCGAGCCCCGCATCGGGCTCCCTGCTCTATGGGAAGCCTGCTTCTCCCTCTCCCACTCCCCCTGCCTGTGTTCCCTCTCTCACTGTATCTCTCTCTGTCAAATAAATAAAATCTTTAAAAAAAAAAAAAAGATTTCTTTCAGCTTAAGCAAGAAATGTGGGGAAGAAATAAAGTACAACTTGAAGGTCTTAAAAGAAGTGAAAAGCAGGAGCATAAGAAAAAGACAGGACAGTATAGTATAGTAATAGCAAGTCCTTGCATTTGGTTGGAGTCAGGATCTACATATAGAGAAAGAACAGGAAACAAGGCAGCAAAAGCTAAGCTGGATAAAGGCTTTCTTAAGACTGAATTTTTTTTTAAAGATTTTATTTATTTGACAGAGACACAGCGAGAGAGGGAACACAAGCAGGGGGAGTGGGAGAGGGAGAAGCAGGCTTCCTGCTGAGCACGGAGCCCGATGCAGGGCTCGATCGCAGGACCCTGGGATCATGACCTGAGCCGAAGGCAGACGCTTAACGACTGAGCCACCCAGGCGCCCCAAGACTGAGTTTTCTTAACTGGTGATTGTTTTATGTGGGCTACATATCTAAATTACCCAGTAATTTTTAAAACTATAGACCTCTAGGCCTCACCGAGATTTTTGTCCTTATTAATCTTAGCTGGGGCCCAAATAACAAATTTATAAATTTTTGAAGATTTCTTTAAACAGGGCACAAAGAACTAACTATAAAAGAAACGGTTGATAATTCAGACTTCTAAAAGTCTATACTTCTAATTCCTCTTCTACATAAGATGAGAGCTTCTATCTAGATGATCTTAAAGGGACATAGAACAGTGATCTCTATGTTCCCTAAATCTTATCTCTTTTTAATTTTCATTAAAAGGAAGTCGCAAAGGATTATTTTTTTTGCCTCCATCTTTTGTTTCACTTAAACTTTAAAAACGTAAGCAGCAGCTCACAACTCCTTTATGGCCCACAGAGGACTCACTCTAGCAACTCGGCCCGAGGCTGTATTACCTTCTGGCCTCGTTTCATCGGCTGCACGGCTGGCGCACGTTTGCTTGTGTCCGCATGAGTTTCAATGTGTAGAGTATTTTCTTTTTCTTTGTCCTTTACCTCGATCACTTCTAAATCCCCTGAGTCACTTGGAAGCTTTTTCTTCTTCATTTCCCTAAATAGAAATGAAATGGGAACATCTAATTCTTAGTGCCCTAAAATACTACAAGGGACGGGGAACATGTACAATATATAAACGATCACAGCTTCTGCTTAACTTCATAAACACCAGGCTACAGTATAAAAGCATACATATGCACATCAGCATATAAGAAAAAACTGAAAACTTCTCTCTCATGGATTTATCATTCTTTCTGTCATCCAGGCTTCACCCACTGTCACCCTTGACTTATCCTTACTCAGTAGCCTCAACATCTTGATGGCCAGGCACCGGGATTTGTAGTCTATGTATCAGCATGGCCTTGGCAGATCTCAGGTATTCAATAAAATATGGTGATAGGTTAGCTAAATAAATAAATGGATAAAGATATACAGAGAAGGAGAAAGGGGAAATCTTATTACTGTGGTATTTTTGATGTGCAATCTCTCCTATTCCCACCGCAGGTCCTCATCACTTCCTACCCAGACCTTTCTCCAGCATTTCCCCCATAAACTGTTCTACATGAACTTCTAGATTAATCTTCCTTGTTTACCTATCTCATATTCCCATTTAAAATCTTCCAAAAGTGCTCCTCACATCACTTTCAGGATTAAGTCCAAAAATACTTAGCTTATCATTCTAGTCAGTTCTCCACTTTTGATCCAAGTTCACTTTGCCAATCTTACCATCTACCAGTTCACAAACGTGAACTTTTGCCCCTTTCACCTCAGTCTACTTATCATTTCCCCAAAGCACTATGCATATTACTTCCAAATCCCTGCCTTGCTTTGTTCATGCTAATTCTCCTTGGAATCTTTGACCTTCTTATCTTCATTTACCTAGTCCTAATAGATTTTCAAGGTATACTTCTGATGGCATTCTCAACACACCTGGCCTCACAGCAATTTCTTACTCCTGAACTACTGTATCCCTACTGTATGGCTCTTTCCTGAATCCAGGACTCAAAAACTCCTTAAAGGCACAAACTTTCTTATATTTTACCTCTTTGTATACTCAGTATCTAGCATAATGCTGTGTCCTCAGAGAGTTTGCTGAAACTATTTAATGACTCTTTCTCAAACAAAAGGGTTTATTATCTATTCCACTCTAGAATCTCTTCCTGGACTGCTTTACACTAGCTTTATAGCCTTTTTTTTACCCTATAGTGATTGTCTCAGTTGTCCCTTTCCTTCTGCCTTTCTGTTTGCCTCCTGAGACCTTCTATGTTAAAGAAAAAAATCTTCTCTATTAAATGAAACTTTCCTAATCATTTTCAAGTATTCCTGTTTATTCCTGCCAATATTATCCTAGAACCAGCCTATTTAATGCACATATTTATGTAACAAAGGGTCTGTCTCATGTTACTTGACCTATCTCACTGACAGTAGTGACAGATTAGGGGCCTAAAACAAAAAAACCTGTACAGAGCTCAATATTAAGAACTAAGCAAGATTTATGCTAAATCTTGTTAATTTTAATAAGGGAGGTCTTTAGAACCGCCAAGTCATCTGTCGTAACTGAATCATCAGTAACCAAAAAAAAATTTACATGCTTTCCAGTTAAATAACACAAATATGTTTACCTTCTTTCCTTGGCTGACAAATGTCTCCGGCTCTGTAATTTACTGTCACTCTATTAAAATTAAAACAAAAAAAAAACACAAGCAAATACAAACAATAACATCACTACTATTAATTTTCCAGAAAGTAAAATTAAAAGTAGAAAATGATTCAATGAGAAAGACATGATGTTCTTCACAAAACTTTGAAAACAGCTTACCATATTAGAAGATTCCTCTTTTGAAGCCAATTTCTGGAGGGACCTATGAAAATAAACAGAAAGAGGCATCCACTAGCCTGTAAAAGGCATTCATTTACAAAGTCCGCAAACATTCCCATATCATACCCTTAATTACTGGCAATCTACAAATTTTCACATGTTGATAAAATTTTTAAAAATCATATTGCTCATCTCACACTTTTAAATATATTCTTAAATAGCAGACATGTATTGAACACTTACTATGTGCCAGGCACTGCCAGATGCTTTATATACGTATAATCTTCACCAAAGCCCTATGGGGGTTGGTAATACTCCATTTTCACAGAGGAAATAAACTGAAGCTCAGACATAGAGTGACTTGCCCAAGGACATACCCTTAGACTCAATTCTGGCTTGACTCCTAAGCTATTCTTAACTATTCTAGTGATAAAGCTTTTAAAACTATGATACTGTTTACTTGGTGATCTACCGGTAAGACTTTAAATAAAGATTAAAACACTTAAATTTTTTTAATGGAATTGCCTCTCTTATATTATTAGCATTTATACTCATATACTTGTTTCTTTTCTGACCTACTTTGGCCACTTTTATGTTTACTGTATTTTTCTACCCTTGGTCCTGGAAATTTCTTTAGAGAAACCTACCCCCCAAATGGTGAATAGGTTGTAGACAATGGAGGGTAAACATACTATAGTCAACCTTGGTATTATTTTAGAAGGATTAACTCTTCCATCATTGCCAGCTATAAAACAATCGTTTTTAATTACCTCTGGGGCTGAAGGTGGGACAAGTCAATGGTAGTATCAGGATAATTTAATGTCTCTTCCCCTTCATCCTTCATTTCACCAACAGGTTCCTGATCTTTTACTACATCTTCGGATTCTCCTTCATCTTCAGAGCTTTCTTCCTGAAGTAGTTCATCAGTTAGCTCATCCCCACCACTCTGAATAGTGACATCCTCTTGGTCAACCTGAGTCATGAGTTCCATTTCCACAGGAGTTTCGTGTGATTCCTCTTTATCTTCTTCACTGCTACTCTCACCTCCATCTGTAGATATCATAAGCTAAGTCAGAGTGATACCACCATAACAAAGCTAGATGACTACCTCGAAAACTTCAAAAAAGCATTCTGTTGACTCCATTTCTCCAAAAGATCACCAAAAAAAAAAAAAAAAAAAGCCCGATCATCCCCAAAGGGTATTCAGACAAAAGGATACTCTTGTATCATGAACTGGTTGGAATAAATGCTCTCCAAGATACTATATAAATTTCTTGGAATTGCAACCATTTCTACAATGAAAACTCTAACTTGTCTTGGTTAGGTATTTCCAGAAAGGAGGACAAGAGAAGTAATTCCATAAATTCTGCAGCTGTTATTGTAACTTGCACATGAGAAGTGAAATGAGACAAGTAATATAACTGGCACACAAAAGGTATTCACACTTTCTCAAAAAAAACACTGCTTAGTAGTAATAATATTAGTTGCCTCACCTATAATAGGAGATGCCATCACCACCTGACAAAGATGGTTGTGAGAATTCCATTAAAAATAATGTAAATACAGAATTCTGTACAGTATTGGGAACATGGTGAAAATTTTAAAAAATCCTGTAATGCCAACAGTAGTCATAAATGAAACAATGCAGTATTAGTCCTAAAAAGGAATGACCCTAGGAGAATAACTGTAAAAATAATATAGAGGGCATACTTTCCCTAGTTCTTTTAGGTAGGTGGGTAAATTTATTTCAGCAACCACAGTTGCTTTCCACTTGAAGCAAGTGTATTATTAAATCAAGCCAAATTCTCATGTGAGAAATTACACTTGTTATAAACTCATCTTTGTATCACTTCTAATTCTTAAATCCAAAAGTAAATGCTCATTTGTAAATACCTGAGTCTATCTCTGCTAAACACATTTATGTTTGACCCATTAAATACTAAAGTTTTACTATATACTTTATATAGTATATCAGTTACAGATCCAATTAAACACTTTCTAATTCACTAAAACAAGTATATTTAATACTGCCAAAAACGAAATTCAGTAAAATTGAGTAACAAGTGTGGTTTTGAAATTTCAATTATCCCAAAGTAGATATGATCCTCTAAGAATCTAGAAGATAAACTAGACAATAGGGAACACTATAAGCTATTTTATTAAAATCTGTAAACTACCTAGTTGATCCATTTCTTCCGATATGAGTTCACTTGTGCAACTCGCCAGTGTTTCCATGTCTTCATCCTGCACTCTGACTTTTCGTTCACCCCGATGTCTCCAAGCAGAAGACTCATCTACCTATGGAAACAGTTCTTTTTCACTGACAGAACTTTAGGTAAGATTCATGAAAATCAGAAAAAAAAAATAACAAAGATGCTGAAGAATACCTTAAAGAGGAAACTAAACCCCATCATTAGATATGAGGGAGGAAGGAAATTCTTTTTTCCTATAAAAGACAATAAGCATAAATGTTAAAAAATCCCTTTTTTTTCCATTTCATGCTTGTAAATTATCTGACACTGGTGGTGACATTTATTTTGTCTTTTTTCTGTCATGAAGGAACATTTCCCATTCACAGAATTTGGCATTATGTATAGGAACAGGAATTAAGAAAGAAAAAATACGAATACTTGCTCTCATCTTTGAGTCAGTCAAGCCCTGAATAATCTGTTTTTAGAAAAAAGGTCATGCTATACATTCTTACCCTTATAACTTTATGTGAAAGTACATTCTCATCAAGAAAAATACATATGGAGATGACATGACAAATGCTAAATTTGCCACAGCAGCACAAAATATTCTTTATTTCATAACAGATTTCATACATGAAATCAGAATAGCTTCTGTTCTGAAAATACTATTAGCAATGGTCCTCAAACCTATCTCCATAACCTACCGACAAGTCATTACCTCTTATCATGAAGCTTCCTGTTGTCAAATATTCTCCAGTTGGTGCTGTTTTAGACACCTGAGGAACACAACACCACATTATACTGTCGTCTTAAGAAATACATTTTTAAAATTTTCACTCAATAAAGTCAAGTCATATTCAAGTAAACAGCACTGTCTCCTAAAGTTTATAATTTAGTAAAAATTCTCAATGCTGAAATATCTCTTCAAAGACAGATATACCTTTGGCAGTAAAAAAGAAAAGAAATAATGAAGGATACACTACACCAATAACTTTCAAATGCCATGGATTAGAGCCAGAACTTGTCCACATGTTTCCTCTGGTTTGAGATATAATGAGAAAAATAAGGACAGTTTAATACGCTTATATCATAAAGCTATATTTACTAATACTGTATTTATTAAATAAAATCCTTTCCTGAAGTACTGTTTTTGGGGTAGTAAAATAACCTTTCATTTTAGGGAAAAGATAGATTTTTAAAAATGCATTCTAATTTGGCAAAATAAGAAGATAATTGCACAATATTTTAAAATTTTCTATTATTGGGGCGCCTGGGTGGCTCAGATGGTTAAGCATCTGCCTTCCGCTCAGGTCATGATCCCAGGGTCCTGGGATCGAGCCCTGCATCGGACTCCTTGCTCAGTGGGGAGCCTCCTTCTCCCTCTGCCTCTGCCTGCCGCTCCCCCTGCTTGTGCTCGCTCGCTCTCTAATAAATAAATAAAATCTTTAAAAATAAATAAAAATTTATCTGTGAAACCCCCAAATCTGAAAGTATCTTTATCATAGATACTGGAGGGATTAAAGCACACTAATTTCACCCTTAAAAAACCAATTCAATAAAAGAATTAAAACCACTTTTATAACAGTACTGAGGCAGAAAATATAATCTCAGAGTGATATTAATTTCCTGAAAACAGTATCACAGCACAGCAGAAAATAATGAATATAAACAGATGTAAAATTAAACTAGGGAGGATAATAGTATTGAATTTTTTTTTTTTAAAGATTTTATTTATTTATTTGAGAGAGAGAATGAGAGAGAGAGCATGAGACGGGGGAGGGTCAGAGGAAGAAGCAGTCTCCCTGATGAGCAGGGAGCCTGATGTGGGACTCGATCACGGGACTCCAGGATCATGACCTGAGCCGAAGGCAGTCGCTTAACCAACTGAGCTACCCAGGTGCCCCAATAGTATTGAATTCTTTACCTTGCTGCATAGCTTTAGGACCTTGTAAAAGTACATCGTTATCAATTGTAATTACTGAAAATGTGAAATAGCAATGGGAAGTCAAATATGCTAATATTTGAAGTAGCATCAAGTAAAATAGCATTTAAAAAGGACAATTACTAAACCCAAGTGAATAAAAAACACCAGATATAGCTATTTTTCAGGAAGGGCCAAAGAGAGATCAGGAAATTCCAACAAAGATGAAGAGGAGAAAGATCTTTTAGGTCAGTATGCCAGTCATAAGTGGAACATTTGTCATCTTGTGTAACTGCATGAATCATTTGCTCTCTTCATTTAGTGTCTGCTCATATCTTACTTTCCTAGAAAGGCCTTCCCTGACACTTCATTCAAAATGGTAGCCCTTATCACTCTCTACTGCCTACTCCACTTTCAAGAAAAATTTTTACAGCACTTGTTACCAGACGTTATGTATGTATTTTTCTCCACCACCAAACGTCAGCTCAAAGTAGGCACTTTGCCTTGTTCACGTCTATACCCTCAAAATTTGGTACACAATAGCTCTTTTATTTCTTATTTTTTGGGAGACCAACATGGGGCCTGAACCCATGACCCTGAGATCAAGACCTGAGCTGAGATCAAGAGTCGGACGCTTAACCTACTAAGCCACCCAGGTGTCCCGGTACACAATAGCTCTTAATAAATTAAGAAAAAGGACCACAGCCCTTATTACCTGATGATGGTACACCCACCAAGCACTAGTGATAACTCGTGCATCCCAAGCAGCACTGTAGCAAAGTGCCATTGTGCCCGCTTCAGTCAAGGTCCGAGGGGGAATGGGTTCTCCTGTAGTAACGACACTGCAATGCTTCAGTACCCAAGTACAGACTTTCTACACAGCAACATATGAAAATTACATGCAGCATGACAGATCTGATCTTCTTACATCTTAAATAATGATACCACATTTTTATTTCAATATTACATAAAGTTACTATTTTTTATTAACAATGTATTTACAACATCACTCACCATCAGGGAAATACAAATCAAAACCATAATGAATTATCACCTCACACCTGTCAGAATGGCTAAAATAAAAAACACAAGAAACAACAAGTGGTGGTGAGGATGTGGAGAAAAAGGAACCCTGGGGCATTGTTGGTGGGAATGCAAACTGGTGCAGCCACTGTGGAAAACAGTATGGAGGTCCCTCAAAAAACTAAAAATAGGACTACCCTATGATCCAGTAATCACACTACTGGGTATTTACCCAAAGGATATGAAAACACTAATTCAGAAGGATACATGCACCCCATGTTTCTTGCTGCATTATTTACAACAGTCAAATTATAGAAGCAGCCCAAGTGTCCATCAATAGATGAATGGATAAAGAAGACGTCATGTATATATACACAATAGAATATTATTCAGCCATAAAAAAGAATGAAATCTTGCCATTTGCAACAACATGGATGGATCTAGAAAGTATAATGCTAAGCAAAATAAACCAGTCAAGAGAAAGACAAATACCATATGATTTCACTCATGTGGAATTTAAGAAACAAAACAAAGGGAAAAAAAAAGACAAACCAAAAAACAGACTCTTAACTACAGAGAACACACATGATTACCAGAGGGGAGTTGGGTAGGGGGATGGGTGAAAGAGGTGAAGAGGATTAAGAATACACTTATCTTGGGAGTGGTGGGGGGTGGGAGGGATGGAGTGGCTGGGTGATAGACATTGGGAGGTTATGTGCTATGGTGAGCACTGTGAATTG